CCCCCGTCTGCGCCCGGCCACGTGGATTTGATTCAGGTTTTAATGCAGCTGCGATATTTTGTGTTACCGAAGTACACTGCAGTTAACAACGTTACCTATGGCCTGAACCAAGGCTCAAAAAGAAGAGATACAACAACACAAACAAAGATATTTCAACTGAAAACAACTATGCAGATAATTAAGAGAAAAATGAGCAAAATCCCTAACGTGAGAGCTGCACACTGGAGAATATGTCTACACGCCTTTAAAATTTATCCGGAAATTAATAATCATGTTTTGGGTTATTTTTTTGTGTGTTTAAGTTTCTGTTGATAACTAATTGTCCTCTAACTTGTTTCCGGCACTTGAGAAATACACTTAATCAAGGGGTGGGGAATCCACACCAGAGGCCCCCACCCATACTTCACAATAAATTTCTTTATGATACGTACAATCACCGATACAATATCCATAATACGGATTCCAATGAATCAATATAGACGCATACTTAGTCATGAATCGAATGATTACGCACATTGCCTCTTCAATCACTGATGGATGATCCAAGGGTACAGAGGTGTTTTTTACTTTTTTCAAAATTACAGCAATCGAATGCAACAATGAATTATATAGAACAAAAATGTTCTTGCATACTGTGTTTTATCTGTTTGTTTTATCAGCTTGTAACCCCAAAAATATAACCCGAATGTGGATTCTCCATTTTGCACCCTAGTTCCTTATAAGCTCGTCTCCAAATGCACCACCGCTGTTCGGCATTTCTTCTGCACTTCCTCGATCCAGTTTACCCCACCCCTGTCTTTTCCGATCCTCCATGCTCACCACCTCTCTTGGTAAACATCCCATTTTTGTGCCGGCCGCGAGGCCGGGAGTTTTGGTCTTCCCAATGTTTATTGTATTTTATTTAACTTTTGTTTTTTTTGGGGGGGTTAAGAATGCTCTTTTTTTTTTTTTTTGGAGCCAATTGGTTTTTTCCAAAATCAAAAAATGTCAAAGAAATGCCAAAATTTTAGAGGGATTTAATAACCTTACCTGGCGGGAAAGGCCGAAAGTTTTGTTGGCGGAGGCGTTTGGGTGTTTCGGCGTTGGGGGGTGGCGGTTTGTTTGTGGTTGTTTGTTGGGTGTGCGGGGGGTGGAAGGCGAGAAAAAGTAAAAAAAAAAACAAAGGACCAGAAGAGAAAGAAAAAAAAAAGAGGGAACGGGGCGTGGGAGGGGTTTTGGGGTTTTGGTGGGTGTTTTGGTGGGTTTGGTTTGGGTGGGTTGGGTTTGGTTTTTGTTTTGGGTTTTTGTTTTGGGTTCTTGGTTTTGGTTTGGGGGTTGGGTGGGTTGGGTTTGGGTGGTTTTGTTTTTTGGTGGCCCGGTGAGGGGAGGGGGAAAAAAGGCGGTCTTGGGGTGGGAAATCCCTAATGACCAAAAATCCCCTGAAACACTGTGCTTAAGGGACAATAATTTTTTACGCCCCCACATAGACAACACCAAGGGGTTTTTTTTATGTTTTTGGGAAAAAAACACGTGGTTGGGGGTTTTCTGGTGGGGTGGTTTGGTGGGTTGGGTTTGGTTTTGTGTTGGTTGGGGTTGTTTGTGTGGTGGTTGTGGTTTGGGTTGGTGTGGGTTGGGTGTGTTGGTGTGTGGTGGTGGGGTTGGTGGGTGTGCGTTGCTTTTGGGTTTTTTGGTGGGGTTGGGTGGGTTCAGCCTGTTTCTGGTTCCTCGGGAGAGGGTTTTTTTTTCCAAAGCTGGTGGGCCCAAAACCCAGAGAGAGAGAGAGAGAAATGTATCTGACCCAGTCTTTCTCCTGTCTCCAGAGTGGCCAGTGCAGCACGCTCTGGTCCCAGCTTGAGTAGCCGACCCAGGAACATGTCCTCTCCTGCCCTGCACTATTATTACAGCAACAACAGGAAGAAGCTCCCTGACTCAGGGTTACTTTTATTTCACTTAATTTGATTTTTACCTACAGTAGAATCCGATTAGTTGCCCCTACGGTGAACATTAGGGTCCCTTGCAGTCCCCAGAAGTACCTGACTGATCGTGAAACGTGAAATGCAACATTTGTATTAACTTTCTTATGGTACCAGATGGTTGTAGTTTGCATTAGTGCAATAACTACTAGACAGTCACACAAACAGGATTTTGAAAGTGAAAGGCATATATAAGTATTACCCTAACACACTTTTATTCTAACTCCTACTTGGTGAAGTTTTAATTAACCAGATTTGACACACATCTTTGAAAATGTGTCATTACACACACACAAGCCCAAAAATATTATGCCTATTGCTACATTAGATCCCATCCATAGTTCCATAGTTCCCTTTTCCCTTCACCAGAAAGGGGAAATGCTTTTGTGTGTAAATGTTGCTAACTTGTGTGCTGTTGTTTTCCAATTAATTCATAGATTTTTGTGGCAGATAAAACAAAATAATTTGTGTGGTATTTTCTGAGTGCTGGCCTCTCCTTGTTAGATGCATGTTAGTATTAAACAAACTTTATTAACTTCACTAATTCAACATTATTACAGCATTATTACAACATTAATCTGGCTACAGATTCGCTAGTCATTTGAATGCAGCACTGCATTTAGCATCAATGTATTTAAATGTCTTAAAACATAAAGAAAATATATATGTATGCTTCCTGCTTCTTCTTGGAATGGAAAGTGAAATTAATGAAATAAATAGCCGGTGATGTACTTCCACACTGCTCAGTGTTGTTGTGTAATAACTGTGTATCGTCAGTATTGGTGTTTTTCAACTGCAAGGATTGTGTAAGCATTTTCTGCGTAAAACTAAAACTGTCTGACTAATTTATTTATACTCACAAACGCATTGTCAAGCTTGAGATAGCAGGTTTTCACGTAACAGCAACAATATGATATTTGCTTTGTACATACTGTATTTGTAAAGCTATACAGCTCATATTGTCATTGAACATGGGATTTCTATTGGGTGCATGTTGGTTTTCATTTATGAAATTTTATACATTGAAAATTTTTAAACCTAAAGTTCAAGAGCCTGTGAACTCAATGCAAACTACATACTGCATGAAATCCAATCTGAAAATGCTGTTTTTCTTGTTTCCTGAAAACTGACAATTTTGGAGATACAGTGTTTTCATTTGAGAGCACTGATACAGCCATGTCATGTGTGTGGTGTGTTTTACTAACCCTAATCTTAACATCCTACTGCTGCTTTAGGTTTGTTGCCTTACTTGGGATAACCTGAAATGAAGCTCCAGTGTCTACTTATATTACAATACCATCATTTTCTAACATGTTAACACCAGTGTATGTGTGTGTGTATCAGGGTGGATCAGATTCTTGGAAAAGGCCAAATTCCTGTGGATAAGAAAATGAGGGACAAACTGCACCCAGATGGAGATTCTCTGGAGGGCATGAGCATGCTGGGACGGGTGTGTAAGGTGGAGAGACAGGTGAGTCAGGAAAGACTATTCTTTGAAAATGAATGTGCAAGATTGTATTGCCCCATGTTAAGACGCAAGGAGCTGATCTGGGCTGTTGATCAATACCGGTGACTCAGGACATCTCTGGTTTACAAAACTCACTTTCTGAGGTTAGCGTTAGTCTAACATCTGTTTTGGAAACAACAAATCAATGTTACGGGAAAAGGACTGAGGTCATAAATTGCTTAACATTCCTTCTTAAGTTTCTCTCTCTTGCTTCCTGTCTTGCCTCCCTCCATGCTCTCACACTCTTATTCATTTCTCTTGGTCTCAGGTAACTTCTATTGAATCAAAGTTGGACTCTTTGCTGGACGTTTACCGCCAAGTCCTACAGAAAGGCCCCTCAGCACTCACCCTGTCCTCCCTGCCCCTGTTCGAGCTGGACAACCACCAGCACCACAACTCAGACTACCAGACGTCCATCATCGGCAGGGATCTCCCCTCTCCCCAGGGAGGCGATCTGGTTGGAGGCGGAGGAGATAACAACAGGCGCTTACGCCGTTCTCTTAGTGCCAACCCGAGAGGCCTGCGACTCATTCTGGCACCTGCTGATGATGACGGTCCCCCAGACTCAGCACCTCCATCCTACCCCCCGTCCACAGCTTCACTGTCCCCATCACCACTGCTTCCTCCTGATAGCCCCTACCCAACGTTGGTCACCCCCAATTGTACCTCCAAGAGAGCACACTTCCCTGACCTGCCGCCCCCACCTTCCTCAACAGGGGGTTTTACCCTCCGGTTGCCCCCTATGGTCCACCTCCGATGCCCCGCTGACCCTATCCCAGATGATATGACAGCTGGAGTGGCAGAGGATGAGGAGAGCCTGGGCCCCTCTGTTGTTGTTGGATCCAGTGTAGATGCTGACCAAGAAGGGGACAGTGAGGCAGGTCCTGCTCAGGAAAGGGTGCAGCTACGGGAGAAGCCTGGCTTGAAATCTGAGGGGGTCTGGAGGAGGCATATGAGCATGGAGGTTAACCCCCTGCTGCTGCTCTCATCTAGCCCAGATGGGACACCTTCAGGCTGGGAAGGCAGTCTAGGAAAATCGCTCTCCGTGCACAATCTCAGCCAGCCTTCGACCAACCGGGCTCCTGGTCTCTCCTCAGCACTCAACAACAGCAGCAGCAGCAACAGTAGCGAACGTGGCAATGCCCACGGTGACCTTAGCACCTGGGACGGAGCAGAACTCTTCATTAGTGAGTGCAAACTAGAGCCAGCAGATGAACATTTTGACTTCCTGTCCCAGGGACCTGGTGACCCCTCAGACCTTCTACAGTCTGTGGAGGAGGCTGCGCCTCACCCTAAGGGAAACTCAGAGTTTCTCAGTCAGCCTCCACACATACAGCTGGCATAACCACACATACACGCTCACATACTGTATGTACACACCATTGTTGGGAAAGCCACTTTTTAAGTATTTTTACAGGACACTATACAGATTATGTTGCAAATGTCCAATCAATGCCTTGTATATGGACATACAATGTTTTTAGATTTTGTCTAACATGATGAAGTCCACTTTCATACAGGTTTTATTATGATATATAATTTCTATGGTGTACTAAAACTACCAAAAAAATCATAAAAGAAATCAAAAGTATAATGACGTATAAAATATGTATGAAGGTGGTCTTTCATATAAGACAAAATACACAAAACAATACACAAATAACCTTTCTTTAAGAGAATTTGCTTTGGTCTTTGTCTAAAGATATTCAGATTTGTTTTTACTTTATACAAAAATGGTAATTTTTTAAAGATCATATATTAATACAATAGGTTTGTTTGAAATAAAGAACAAGTAAAGAATGTTAACTAGATATCAGAGCCTGCAGTCTAACACCTTCTTAATAGACATCGGAGTGTAGAAGCAAATTCAACAATTTAGTTTATCACAAAAATAACTGTGAGCGATGTTAACTTTCTTTTCAAAGGAATTTCCAGCAGGCCAACATTTGAACTTAGTCAGAACCTAAACCCAAACCAAAGACCCAAGTTTGGGCTCATCACTGAAATAAGCAGGAGTCTAACTTTTTATTGTAGAAATTAAAAGGTATTGCTATTGGCTCTTTTGACTTGTGCCAACCTCAACAAATAAATGAGTGAATAAAATCAGAAAAAAAAATAGTTGCAAGCTACAAAAGTCAAGGGTTGTTGAACCTCAAACCAGCCACTGGAAACTATAGGTCAACCACTTCTTAACATGTGGTGAAACCAGTACAAACAGGTACATACACACTCTGTGACACACACAAAAACACACTGACACATACAACTGCCACAATCACCGTGTACTTTGAGAAGAGCGAACTTGACAAAGAGCTGAGACTGACTAATGGTTTAATTTTTCATACAAGTGCTAGTATTCAGAGACTTTCTTGAGAGAAAGGGAGAGTCACTCACTCTCCTCATTCAATGTCGGTCTTTGGCAATGTACAATGTCATCTTTTACTTATGCTTTCATATATATCACTGCATGGACTGTTTCCAAAAAAAATTATAAAAGGAGAATAATGGGTGAGGCCTGGTGTAATTGGAATAGCTATAGAGTTATAAAAAAAAGTTAATACTTAGCATGTACTGTTTACAAGCACAGAAACAATAGTTTAACCTACTACAAGGAGTTTGTAACCCATTATGAAACAGTCTAAATTTCATACTGATGCCTCTATATTACCTACACAAGCAAACGAGACCATCAGCAAGAAGATTGGCCATTTCCATATGATTATTCTTTATGCCTGCCACCAGGTCGGAATCAGTCTTATTCCCCTTGAAATAAATGAAACGAGACTGTGGAAACACTACTACTTCTGTCCACAGGGGCTGCCACAATCAACACAAAATGAAAGTTTCTTGTTGCTTCTTTAATCTTTATATGATTGCTTAGTTTCATCAGCGAGTTGTCAGTGATTTTGGGTGCAGAAAAAATAATTGGAAAAATGGCCTTTCAGCAAGTGTCCCACTCTTTGTATATGTTGATGGTTAAAGGTCTGAATGCTGAATCGCAGTAGGCTTGTCCAGCCAAGCATGAGATGCTGCATGCCTAAGCTGTTGCAATACTTAAAGTCAAGAGTAGTCACACACTTAATGATGGCCTGTATGTCCTTCTGCATGTTAAAGTAATGTTTCCTCCAAACCTTTAACAAAAAGGAAGTAATCTAATTTGAACTAATTTCAAAGTAGTTATATGGATACTTACTGTAAAATTTTATGACAAATATAATTCGGTCATTTAATGTTTTTTGACAAACCCTATCTTTTCACTGGGTGCTGGTTGCACCATGTGTATTAATAATGATTGAAGGTTGCTGGACTGACCTTATTCCCAACCCTAGGTGTAGTGTGGTGTTACAGGGTGAAATGTGCAATGCATAGACTCAATTTATAACATAGCAGATTAGCTTGGATTCACCCGAGGAACCCATAATAACGAGATACTGTACATGCATTGTTGTATGCATGTTCTTACTTTATCTATGTGTCCATTCTGCTGTTGACACTGTCAAAAATATAACATGTTCATGTAATTAAATAGGAGAGAGAGGGGAAAAGATGAGAAAAGAGTGCCCTGTAATCTCAATACAAAAGCCTAATTGATATTTTCTGTGACTTTCAGCATTCAGCTGATGCTCTTATCCAGAGCAATGTGCTTAAGGAAACATTGGCAACTCAATCTCATCTGAGACTGAGACTAAAATGTCTTATGTATGGCCTTTTTAACCTCTCTTGCTGCCTCCCCAAAAATCATGTATAATTTACCAGGATTTTGAATGTGCATGCAATTCCTCATCACCACATCAGTCAAAATTACAATATTTAACCATTCATGGTTGTTGTAATAATCTTTAAGAATACTCAAGTGGACACATTTATAGTTTGGAGCATTAAGTCCATATTCAGATCGAGAAGTTATACGCTTTCTCTGGCAGTATTATAAAAATTGGTGTGTTGCAAGGCTCTTAAATGACACTGTCCTAACTTGATAGAATTGTTTTCATTACCATCCTGCTTGTAGATGGATTGACTGCTCTTGGATGAGAATTATGCACAATACTGTGTCACCAATCTTAATTTGTGTTAGCCATTGTGATTTGTTTTTTTGCATGTTTACATCTTAAAGAGTATTCAGTCACAGCTGTCTTAAAAATGTATTTTAATGTGTTAATGACAACCTTTATTCATCACTATTTTCCAGTTATATTCCCTTTGTTTTGAATGGTGAGTAAGTGCATTGATTAGCAAATTAACACTCTGTAGTAGCCTATAACAAGTATTATCCTCTAACAAATGACAATTGTAAACACTATTTGAAATATTCTACAGCCCATGCAGGAGTTGTTGTGGTATGATGACATGTATTATCGTAATGAAAGCACAGTTGTTAATGGTGAGTTTGAGGAGCCTGAAAATGTGACATGGTAGTTTAATGCTTAATATTGGAATATATTTGTAGTTATTGATTGAGTTTTTCTACATATGAAAAGAGGCCAGTCAAAACAGTTAATTACTTTGGAGCAAGACATCGAACAAAAACTGAATAATGAGGAAAGCCCATGGGACATTGGGTGGATTATTCCCCTCATTAAACATGCTATTTTTCGCAATCTGTAAATTGCTTCAGGGTGCCTTTCCTGTACATGGAAATTTTTCACAGGGCTATGAAGGTCTTACCGACAACCCATAGCATACTGTAGTTGAAATCAAATTGCTCATTTTGGGTTAGGCATCCAGTTCACTTAAGTCATGTAGCTTTAGCCACAGACTTTAAGGCTTGGATAGCTAATAATACCATTTCTCTACTGCTTGAACAGTAATTTATTACACAACTGGCCTTAAAGCTTGATAATGTTAACATTATTATTTTTCTTTGAAATTAATTTATTAAAGTGCACATTATGTTCTCTGGATGAGAAATGCAAAAAATAATTTTATTATTCATTAATAAAGTACAGATTAACTAAAGCGTTTTGGTTTTTGTGGGTTTTTTTTTATTAGCAATTTAAATGTCAAGGCCAAAGTTAGTTTGGCATAAAAAGATCACAGACTGTCGTGTTGCCTTTTTAAAATTAGGATTTTATATGTTCAGGGTGATGGATAATGAATGTAAAAAGTATGGTATTCTATTAAATAATGGTATCTAAGTGTTGAATTTGGCAAATGTCGCCACCTTTTTATGGTAGATTTAGAATGTTACATTTTTATTAATTAAGTTACATGCCATATTCATGAAAACAATATCAATCAAAATATTTTAAAAATTAAATTTGAAAGTCTGAGTTTACAGGGAGGAAGTGAATGCGACATAGTCTTGATCGACAGCTCGACAGTTAATTGCGGTTAGGGTCAGCTAGCTGGTAGGAGGGGAGCCAAATTTAAAATGTCTGACTGGGAAGAGGAAGACGAAGTTGCTATCCCTAAGCCTACTACTAAATCAGCTCCGACGGAATGGAGATTGCCATGTGATGACCGCCAAAGGGAAAATGTATTTTTCGGCGTGAGAAACAGAACCACGTTTGGAGGCGCAAGAGGGGGCAGAGCTGATCGTAGCGGCGAGGAATTGGAGTTCAAAAGCCGGAGAGGTGCGGGCGAAGGCCGTACGTTTCCCCGGAGCACGGGACGACGGACCTTTGGCGATGAAGACTCAGACTCTTCCCCGCCTGTGACTTTCACTGTGGAAAATGCTTCAGTTGGGAGGGTAATAGGTAGGTTTCTAGAGCACTAACTTCAGTTTCGAAGACTAAGCTACTAACACTTTGCAGACTTAGTTAAACCTACGTTTAATGTGACGACGCTGTTAATTGGGTAGTTGTTCTAAAGTTAAATCAACAAAATATGTTAGCTTGGTTTGATAGCTTCACGTCTATCCTCCATGCTGCCGTCCATAAGATGTTTATGTTATCTAGTGTGTGGGTATGTCCTGTACACACAGCATTAGCTTATAGTACGTGTGTTTCCACTGTGTAACCAGGCGATGATGGTATTTTGTGTGTCTTTAGTACTTTTTTTAATCCTGTTTAAGGTCGTGGAGGAGCCAAAATTCGTGAACTTCAAGAGAGCAGTGGCGCAAGAATCAAGGCAAGTGGACTAGTGTCAAACTAAGTTAGTAGGGCACATTCAGAAACAAATAACTGGTGCTTGGCAGCCATAATATGCACTTAAATGTGGGGAAGTGCCTGCACACACACTGTTTTCTTGTTCCCAAATCCTTTTTAATGCCATGTGGACATGGTCTGCGTGAATACTCTATTCTGATTGGCTGCAGGGTGTCCATTAAATCCTGACTTTACTTTTTAAGATAATTGGTATCGGCCAATATTAATCAGCCATACATGTCAGTGTGGCTGTTGTGGAATAATGTTTGTGCTTTTGTGAAGGTGGAGGAAAAAGTTACATAGTGTAGTTTACTGTAACGTTGAAGCATCCTGCTGTAAACATACGCCTGAATTTTCTTATTAAATAGAGTTGTACATTGATTTTGTTGGCATTATATATATTTATATATATATATCTCGCTATTCAAGTCACTACTTAGGCTGCAGCTGAGAGCAAACTTTCTTTCATAATTTGTTTGTTAAAATGTTTATCGATTTGGGGATAGTTTTGTTTTGTTGTTAAAGCCGACTGTCACATTATATTTACTGTTTGTCAACCTTGTGCAGAGTTATAACTTGCTAATCTTGCTAGCATGGCGTTAGTTTTCTGGCTCATGGCTGAGCCAAAAGACTCTGAGCGGAGACGACTAGAAATATCTCCCGTTGCCAAGTTGTATCTAAGGTTTGTCCTATTTACTGGAGTAGTTCTCCATTGCATAGAAAGCATATGGGAGGGGTGTTAGTCAAACCCTCAGGTGTTACCAGGGAAAAAGTAGATTTTGATTTCAAAAAATATAAATTAATGGTCTTAATTTTTATTCCTTTGGCAAGTGACTACAATATCAGCGAGATAATGACCTTGGAAGCGTCCATAATCAGGAATTAATTGCCTCCACGGCGTCCACTCGGCATTCGTTCTGGATAATTGACACCTCATCAGGGTTTTATCCCTAACTTGGAGAACGGACGTTCTTTCTCGGGTCTGAGGAAGGAACAAGAGAGCAGACTGCAGGCTTTTGCCTTAGACTAAGTTAAATCCAATCATCCAATGTGCTGGTAAAGTTCTTCTTCGGCTGCAATTTTCCTTAACTGCTTGCAACATAAACTTCATTCATCAGAAACATTGGTAAAGCTCTGTAGTCCTATCCCAAGACTAGAGAGATTTCAGTTTCATTTAAACAGAAAGTCTAAAGAGTCGAGACCTATTCAATGAAGACCAGAAACCAGAAATACTGAAATAAGCTATAAAATGGCTGTAAATCATCTTCAGAACTCAACTAGTTCAGGTTCTAGCGATGTGTTTTGGATGGACGGGCTGTGGTTAGTATATAATGTTAGTATTATTCCCTGTTTTTAACTGCTGTTTTTTAGATAAACAAGGGGGACTATGAAGGTGAGGTGGTCATCTTTGGGCCCTCTGCTGCCCAGCAGAAAGCCAAGGAGATGATTGAAGACCTACTGGCAGATGGCAACTCTCGATCTTACAATGGTATGAAGTCATTTTTATATAAAATGTAGATCTTGATCCCAGAATGATTCCTGGCAGTCGGGAGTCTCTTTCCACTGATGTGGTCACATTTAACACTTTATTATTATCTCCTTTTGTATCCATGAATGGACCTAACCTTCCCATTTAACGCTATACATCAGTTAAAGTTAAAAAATGTTTTGGGTTATTTATCTAGGGCCCTAGACAACTAACAACCTCTCAGATGTGTTGGCACGTGTTGGAAATGTGTTTGGTTTATGTGAGGGCTTATGCCTGCAGAGCGTGTAGGAGGAAGAAGAAGGTTTTGCATTCATATTAAGAAAAAAAGAGTACGTTGAGTAGTTTCTATTTATGTATTATTTGAAGGCTACATGCTACACATTTTTAATATCGGTGTGTATGTTAAAGTACATGGGATTTGTTATTTGGTTTTTGTTTTGTTTACCGTGGTATCAAATTGGCTCGTAAATTGTTGAATTTCACTGCTATTGGTGTCAACTAGTCGGACCCTTGCAGAAGTATTAACGGTGCCACACAAACTGAAACTTTTACTATAGCATCCTCCAGTTCTTTGGACAGTTCAGCTTTTCAGAGGTCAGTTCAAATATGACCAATCTAGGGGTGATATTTCATTTTAACCTCTTGTTTTAATGAAGTCAGAAATGTTGTTAAATCATGTTTCTTTCAGAAATTAGGTCTTTTTTTTATTTTGTAATCAGTTGCTCATCTTCAAAAAGTGGTACATTCCCGGTGGCTCATCTCTTTCCACAGAAAGAAACCGATATAAGGCTCTTTCACATGCGGCTCACCTGCAGTTGTGAAAACAGAATTTCGGGTAAAAGAAGTATTCAAACCCCAAGTTGTGGTTATTGGTGACTGTACATGCTGCTGACAAAGAAAGTCAACAGAGCAGACAGATACAGCCTGTTTGTGTGCAGCAGCATGCAGCAAGAGACAGAGGTGTAGGTGTTACCTACTCAACAAACAATATCTTGGTCCAGCCTCAGTTCAGACAGCGTGAGGTCAATTTTTGTGGCGGTGCGGTTGCATACAGAGTTAATGGAAAGACTTGATTAGGCGTATTTGCCACTAGAGTGGCTTTTTATCAACACTTATGGTGCTTATGGCCTGTTTATTTCTATATTGATCTTTGTCCCAAAAATACTTGCTGTCACTTGCTGATACTTTATTACACAACTTTACTACAGCTCATACTACTACTACTCCATACTGCATACTGTTGTTTCTCAGGACCCCGTAAGGGGGGAGACTATGGAGGAGGTCCTGATGGAGACTACAGAGGTGATAAGGGAGTAAGCAAAGCGTCTGTATGGTCTTCAGCAGAATTACAGGTTGCAAATACAGCCCCGGCCCATGTGTCCATAGACTGGAACGCCATCCGGGAGAACAAGGACAAGTATGCGGAACTCAAGTGGAGCGGTGAGGGCTCGTATATTGTTACTACATAGACTGCAGTCCACAAGTGTTTGAAAATGAATATGGTTTTCATTGTCTTGGGCCTACTGTAATACTATAATAATAAGAATTCCCTTTTTCTTTGCTCTTGTTTATTGTTATTAGATTGATTAGACTAGTTATTTGCAAGAATGAAGTCGTCGTCCATGGTTTTAAACTATTTCTGTAATATTTGCAACTTCCTTCAGACCTTCCACCCATGAAGAAGAAGTTTTATATTGAGGCAGAGAGTGTATCCATGCTCACAGCAGAGGAAGTCATTGAATGGAGGTAAATGAATGAATGAATGAAGGAATCGCTTTATTGTCATTGTCACAGGTACAACGAAATTTACTTTAAAGGGGTGTGTTGCATATGCGCATGTGTAAGTGTCCATGGGTGCGTGTGTGCACATAAGCCTGGAGAGTCGCTTCCCCCCCAAAGCCGATCAAGCGTGCCGGCCGTGACCCCTGAATCGGCGTGAGGCAGAAGTGTTCGCGCCTGAGGTGGTTATCACGCACATGGAAACTCTTGGGAGTGTTTCGGCTATGGCAAAGGAGATGACATCGATTGTGAGAAGTATCGGCGAACAGAGTAAAGTCGTGTCTAGGTTTGACAAATGCGCTGATCGCCTACCCAAAAAATATAATCTAATCTGATTCGGCTCTGGGAGGCGGCTGCTCGGAAATCTCCAGGAAGTCGTTGAGTGAGACGCTCTGCCTATTCTCCCTTCATTCTTCCAGGACCCTGTATAGTTGACTCTGTTTAGGACCGATCAGGACTCTCATGGACTGCTGTGTTCTCGAAGCTGAAGCCATGTGAACTGAGGCCTTGATTGAGAGGCTAGCG